CCGCGACCACACCCAACTACTTCGCTGCACCGTCGCAGCAGCCCCAGCTGACCGTCAGTCTCCCCCCGCGGCAGCCTCGGTCTCCTCCGTCGCCTCCCCCGAGTCCGCCGTCTCCTCCGTCTTCTCCCATGCCAGTGCCAGCCCCCTCCTTCGCCAGCCCCCCTCCTCAGCGGGTCCCTTTGCCAGCCCCACCAGCGCCGTGTTCGCCAGCTCGCCGTCTTCTGCGGGGGGCAACTACTACGCAGGCACGTACGACGAGATGAGCCCGCCCCCGTCCTCTGCATCAGCCTACTCGGATTCATACGGCGACGCGGCCTTTCCCCCCACCCAGACGCACTACCCGCTCGACATGTCCCCGGCGTACGTGCAACTACAGCAAGCGTCCCTGCTCATGCATCCCCACGCGTACGAGCTCCAAGCCAGAGCCAAGGGCAAGCACCCGCTGCACCTCTCCTGCATAGCCCCCGCCCGGCATGCAAGGCCCGCCCTCCAGCTGCACGCGCTCCAAATGCAAGGCCTCCCCCCGCTGTACACCGTCCCCGTCCCCGTCCCCGCACCCACGCGCCGCCGCGAGCGTCCCAGGCCCGAGGAGCGCCCCCCGCGCCCGCCGAAGAGGCGCATTGGGTATTACCCCGCGAGTCCGCTGGTTAGCGAGTGAGTTCTGTTTTTTTTTTGGTTTTTGGTTTTTGGGGTGCCGTGTCCGTGTCGGTGTCGGGTCGGCGGCGTTTTTTCGGTGGTGCGGGGGCAGGACGGGGCGGAGTGGGGCTTTGCGCCTTGCTACTGGTGTGAGCGTGCGCGCGCTGTGTCGTATTCCATTCTATTCTCGACTTGTACCCTTCTATTCTGCCGTTCGCCGTCGCCGGGTGTGGGGCTCTTCTCCCGCCTCTTCTCCTCCCCCCCTCTCTCCCTCCTCCAATCCTCCTCCTATTCCGTCGGTTCGGTTTTCCATATCGGTGTCGACGGTTTTTTCTTTTTGGGCTGTGTTATTGCTTTTTTTTGGGGGGGGCGGCGGCTTCTGTTCTCGACTTCCCCTTCCACTCTTCCGTCCTTCCATCCTTCCGTCCTTCTACCCCGGGTTTGCCGTTCGCCGGGCGTGTGCCTGTTTTTGCCTTGCTCTCTCTCTCGCTCGCTCGCTCCCGCTATTTCTATTTCTATTTCTATTTCTATTCCTCTATCAATCCTATCCTATCTTACGCCCGTGCTGACCCGCTCCTAGCCTCCTCCTACAATCCGAATCCGAGACGGTAGCGGTCAAGACTGAGGACGCCGACTCGCCTGTCCATTCTTCTCCCGCTTACGCTGACGCGGACTTGGACGCCGACGGGGGGAGGAGACGGAACTCCCGGTCGCATTCTGCGCGCTCGCGTTCGTCTGTGTCCGCGTCGGCGTCGCACTCGCCTTCGCGCTCCCGGGAGAGGGGGGAGAAGAGGATGAAGATGGAGGATGGCGGGGGTGATATTGGTGGGAATGTGCGGGGTGATAGTGCGAGGGGAGAGAGTGCGAGAGGGAAGGGGAGGGGCAAGGGTTAGTCGTCTCATTTCCCTCTTTTCGTTCCTTGCGTCATCTCTAACCCATTTCCCCTCCTCACAGACTCCAAACCCTCCGGCCCCGCATCCAAAAAAGCCGACAAATCGCAAGACAAAGACAAAGACAAGGACAAAGACAAGAAACCGCCCCTCGCGTGTCTCTTTTGTCGCGGGCGGAAGATTGCGTGTGGGCCGCCTGCGGGGGGTGCGGCGCATGGTCATGGTGGGGGACAAGGGGGGATGGGGGGGACGGGGATGGGGGCTTGTAAGTGCGTGGTTGGTTTCCTTTTTTTTTTGGTGTCTGTTCTGGCTCCGTTCGGTTTCGCGGTCCTATTCGCATTTCGCATTCGCATTCTGCGCACGCACGCGCGCGCTTTTTTTCGCTCCTTTTCGTCCGGCTCGCTTTGGGCTACGTACGATTCGGGCATGCATGGCATCGCGTTCGCTCTTTCGCTCTTTCGCGTATTCGTACCTCCATCCCATCATTCGCACCCCGCCGTTCAGTTTAGCTCCTCCCCGCAATTTAACTCCTCCCATCATCCTTTCCTTCGTTTTGGCTTTGGCTTTGGCTTTAGCTTTTCCACACCCTTCCTCCCCACCAGACCCACCATCGTGCCTCGCTCGCTTTTGCCCTTGCACTGCATGCATACTCGTATCTGCATCGCGCATCGCGCATCATTCGTTCGTTCGTTCGTTCGTTCGCGCAGCCTTTTCATTCCTTCGTTTTGCCTTTCGCGCCTCGCGTTTTGCATTGCCTTGGTAGCCCATCTCATCCATCCATCCATCGTTCGTTCGTCCTGGCTTTTCACTCCGATCCTACCTCTTTCTCTCACCCTTCCACCGTTCCCCGCACCCCGCACCCCGCACCCCGGTCCTTCCCTTCCCTTTCACCCCGCTCTGTTCCTACCCGATACGTACTCGATACGTTTTTCGGCTTTCCCCCTTCGTTTTTTCGTTTTCGTTTTTCGTTCTCGGATCCCCGCATGCAAGTCCCCGCACGTACGTACCGTACGTCATTTGACGTGTGCGTGTGCGGGTGCCTGCCTTTGCATTTCATTGCGCGTTTAGGGGTGCATTCCATTCATTCATTCATTGGTTTCATTCGTTCGTAATGCGTTGCGATTTGACTTTGACGGTTTCATTTCGTTTCGCGTTTGGCCGACGCGACCCTGCCCTGTTGACGTTGCGATATGAAGGTGGGGCGAACAGGGGCGCGGGGGAGTGAGGTATTTGTGCGGGTGGGCAAGGAGGGGGTGACGGTGGCGGCGGAAGGTGTCGAGCGTCGCCCCGCCCTTCTTGCGATTCGATTCCATTATTTCTTTCTTTTCGTCCGTCTTCTTTGCCTCTTTTTTATTTTGGTCTTTTCCTATCCTTCCTCTCCTCTCTCCTCCCTTTCACGCCTTTTGTTTTCCTTTCATTTTCATTTTGCCTCCACATTCTCGCGCCCCGTGCTGACGCCTTTCTTTCACAGCCAATGCCAGCGCCGCGCGCTCAAGTGCGAGTACCCCGCGAGAGCAGGCGCGGGATGCGGAAGAAGAAGGTGGCGACCGCGGGGGAGGGGCCGGGGTCGATGGAGTCGTCGCCGAGTGGGTCGCAGACGGCGGTGTTGTCTGGCAAGTCGTTTTTTTTTGTTTTTTTTTGAAGAGAGAGGGCTCATGTGTTTTTGGTTTAGCAGGCGTAGCGTACAGGCTCCTCCTCCTTCGCCTCCTCCTCCTCGTCATCATCATCGCAGCTCACGACCGGCTCCTCGACCCTCGCTGGCGCGGTGGGGCTCGATTTTGACTTGGGGTTGGGGTTTGATGCGTCTGGGTCTGGCGCGGCTGTTCCTGTTATGGGGCAGAACATTCCTGTTATGGGGTTCCCTACGGCGCCGTTGTCCGTGCCTGTAACGGGTACGTTCGACGGGGACGGGTTCGCTTCGTCCACCAACTCGGCGTCTGGCGAGGCCGGAGCGCGAGGGGCGGCGGAGGACGTGGTGCAGATACCGACGCAGCGAACGCGCGACCCGCGGCTTGCGTCGGCGGTGCGCGACGCGGGTGGGGGTGTGGGGTGCGGGTGCGGGGGAGCGGGTGTAGGGCGGATGTGAGGTGGGTGGTGATGCCGAGGAGGAGGACGAGGACGAGGACGGTGGGGGGGAGAGCGGGTCAAGTCAAGGTCAAGATGGAAGGAAGGAAGGAACAAGATCAGATACTCGTGCCAGTGCCAGTGCCAGTGTCCCCGGCCGCGTCCTCCCTCGACGCACACCTCCTCTCGCACGCCCGACCCGACCCGACCCGACCCGACCCCCGAAGACGTGTCTCGTCGCTCGTCGCTCTTCCCCACGGTCGCGTCGCACCCTCGACGCCCGCCCCCACCGTCCTTGTCCTCGTCCTCGTCCTCGTCATCGTCACCGTCACCGTCCTCGCCCGCCGGCGACCGTCTATTCGTGTATCATTTTTGCCGCCGCGTTTGCTGCCGCACCTAGCCTCATCTCATCTCGTCTTATCTTCTTTATTGCCCCCGTCTTAATGTCTCCCCACCCGCCTCATGAATGCCTCCCTCTTAATGTGTACCCGCCTACCCGCCTGCGCCCGCTCCCTCTTATTGTCTACCCGCCTCCCCGCGCGCGCGCGTCCGTCGTTTGACGCGACCGCGACCGCGGCGCGGTGCGGCGCGAAGGGAAGACGAAGGCCAAGACGCAGACGCGCGCGCTATGCCGCTCTCTTGTCTTGCTTTACCAGAACAAGAACGGACGAGCCCGCGGAAGACCGCCGAATGCCGAATACGAGTTCGACGGCGCATAGCCCGTAACTCATAACCTGTGTATACGAATAACCCATCCCCAACACGACGAACACGAAAACCAATACGAACCCAATACCTGTACATATGATACCACCCGCACCCGTCCACCCACCCACTCTACGTACTTACATACATACATAACTCGCTATCGTTATCCGCTCTTATAAGCGCCTACCGTAACCATTACCTCTACTCGCTACTGATTATTGCGCACATTTGCGTTGACGTTACCACCACCTATTATTTTGCTGATTATTTTGTTGGTTTAGAGCGGGGTGTCTATCTATTAGATCTCGCTCGGTATGCTATGCTATGCTACGCTACTATGCAGTTATTGTGTAGTTGCACCTCTGACTGTTACTTGTAGGGTTTTTAACTGGGTTTTATGTAGTTTTCTTGTCTATAGGTACTGAGTGTGTGTTGTCGAATTGCTTTGTATATAGCTAGCGCTCTGGGCTCTGCATTTGCTTTTTTTGTTGGTGCTGTTGTTAATGTTTTGTCGTTGATATAATTATAATTTGAAGTAGGAGTACGAGATGTGAAGTGCTGTAGGAGTAGATAGTAGTGAATAAATTTGGGGTTTAACGCTTAGCGGTTGAACGAGTGGGAGTTGAGAAAGAAAAAGAAGGACTTCAAGAAGAGGGAAGAGGGAAGGAAAAAACGGGGGAAAAACATTTGTTTCACGATCCATGACCCAACCCCGGTTCGAACGAGGGACTCCTGTTCACTTCGTACAATAGGTAGTGAACTCTAACAGGCGCACTAACCAACTGTGCCATTGGGTCGATGACTTGCACTCTTTTTCGTGGAATTCAGCCGGGCACATGAGATACAAAAAAGGCGGAGGCAAGGTGGAGGAGCAAAACAACTTGAGGGGAGGAAACTGTATGAAGTAGATGCGATAACTTGAGTTGACCTCTACCAGAAAGAAAAAGGAGAGCTTCAAGAAGAGGAAGAAAAAGCTATGATTCATGCTCCTGATGACCCAACCCCCGGTTCGAACGAGGGACTCCTGCTCAAACGTTTCAGGCAAATTAATTTCAGCAGACGCACTAACCAACTGTGCCATTGGGTCCTTTTCGTGGAATTTATATGACGTGGATGAACAAAACAATTTGAAGAGAGAAAAACAAGTTCAAATTTGACACATGGCTCAACCTCGATTCGAACGAGGGTCTCCTCGTCAACGGAACTGACCGATCAACGGATTCAGCAGGCGCACTAACCGCTGTGCTATTGGGCCGATGGTTTTCATATTCCCGACGCTTGAAATGGTGCCGACGACTTCAAGTTGAAGCGTTGTTGAATTCGTTGAACGGTGTTCTACAGTAGCTACTGGACGACTGGCAGCCGGCTTGTGGCGCTCGGAATATGAGAGGAGTTGGGGAATATTCGAAAGAAAGATAATAGGACAGACAGAAAGTCTGTGATGTGGTAAACGTCCCGATGGTTGAACGTCAAGTTGGAAAGTGGAGTCGGCATTTACCGGTGGCTGTGTTCAGCTCTTTCCTTGTCTTTCGTTTTGCTTTCGTTCGTCCAGAGGCCAGTAAAAGTGTTTGTGCAGTCGTTCGCTCAGTGTCCGCGCGCACAAGCTCGTCAGCATAAAAAACTCAGTCGACCACATACTACTTAGCTGCGGTTCCATGTTGAAAAACAGTCGTAGGAACTTCCTGGGCCAGGGCGGCTGTGTCCGGTTGTCTTTCTTTTAAACGCCCGCAGCCTTGAACACAAGTCGCGACGGACTATTTCGATGAACCCGAGTCGTACGACAGGACTGCAGAATATAATCACCAAGTGGAATGGTGGATTCTTTCCCGAATTGGAGTTGAAATTAGTATCGGACGTCGTGAATGCAGTCTGGATTAGATGCGATCCTGCGCTGCTGGCCCTGCCTTTCGGGCCCGAGTCCCTTAATCCTTTTCGCTCCCCAATCGTCTTTTTCTCCTCAATCCTACTCGCATCGGTCTCACCCCAGTTCTCCACAAACGAGGGACGAGGAACGAGTTAGAGCTGATAGACTCGCATCGGGACTTTATCAAGAGAGACTACCTAATCCTACTCGCATCGGGCTCGCGTCGACTCACGCTTCCTAATCTCGTCCCTCCTACTCGGCTTGCGCTCGCGCCACCTCTAAGACGCGTGCTTTACGCTTTACGTCTTGTCTTGCCAGTGGGTGTAATGGGGTCCCCATCGTGCGTCAACCGACCCTCTCCTTCGTGGTGTTGGCGTTGTCCGAGATGAACGCAGACGCATGCAGACGCAGACGTACAAGGGCGCCTTCTGCTTCGCGCAGTTGAGTTACAGTAAGTGCCCGCACAAGTGGCTCATCTTCCGTCTTCGAGGTGCACAATGCCGCCTTCCCCTTCTCCTTCCCGCTATCATCGTCTGCCTTCCTTCGGCCTGCCTTGCTCCTTCCTTCGTGCCTTCGGCCTGCATCTTGCCTCCCATCCCGTTCATTCCTCTTCATACGCGGCCAATCCCAACTTTATTTCGTTCCCTTCCATTTTACTCTTCGTTCCTTTGGGGTCCTATCGATCTGCTCATCGTCGCACGAACGAACGTGTTTCGCAGCCTATGCCAACGCGCGCTCTCCCTTCTGTAGATTGACTAAACTGCACTTCGCAGTTCTGCCAGTCCCTCTACATCCACTGGCGGATACCCGCGCTTTCACTCCTTCCTCATGATTAACGGCCTGATTTATGTCGACCTCGTTGGCGTTCACGCCGCGTGCTTGGGCTATAGATTCGAATTGATTAACGGTGGGTCAAATAAGAAAAAAGAAAGTCACAATCTTGGCGGATGACCCAAACCCCGATTCGAACGAGGGTCTCCTGCTTAGAATATGGATGAAAAGGGACTATAAGCAGGTGCACTAACCAACTGTGCTATTGGGCCAACACTCCCTTTCACTGTCTGTGAGTCAACTAGATTGAAGAGGAATAAAATCTTTGAAAAAAATTTGTAAATGACCCAACCCCAGATTGAACGGCTAAAGCTGTATAAATGGACGAGATCTTAATTAGGGAGTGAGCCTGAGGAGCGAGACTAGAACTTGAAGGCGGAAATATGGAATAATGGACCTGAGAACGGGCCACAGAAATAAGAATTAAATGGCCCAGCTGACAAGAATCTGCCCTCCCTTCCCATATGCATGGTAGGTAGGTAGGTAGGATTACACGGCACGGTCCCACTCAGGAACGCCGGTTTGAGGAAGTATCCGGGTGTACTAGGCTAATAGTGTCCACCTTCGTCCCTCACTTCTAGAAATCTCTCGAGCCGAGCTCACGCACCCGGTGCCCCGTCACGCTGTAGAACCCGTTCAACCCCCAGAAGCAAAACCCAACCCAGAAACCCACATATCCTTCAACATGGAAAGTCGCAGGGTGCGCTGGGGACCGCGGTTCAACTTGGAGTTCAACTGTGTTCAAGTCGGTTCCGCACACTCTAGGCGCATGCGCAACTGGCATCAATCACACGGTT